CTATAAAGGAAAGCTTGTGTGGTCAATGCCTGAGTGAGGAACCAGGTGTTAGTGGGAACAAGAATTCTGAACTCATCTATTTGCTCTTATTTCAGATCAGGTTTTTATATTGTATGGAAGTGTTTCTTATAATTTTCTTGCTTCACTTTTAATAATATATCTGGCAAATATTGATTTTTTTTTACTAAGCATATTTATGTCACCGTTACAATGTAAAATATCCTTAGATACCACCTACTTTAAAGGTCAAGTAAGTGGCTCATAAGAGCCTAGAATTTTAGAGATAAAAGGATACCTGTAGAAATCATATTATTTAGCCCTTTAATTTTACAGATGAGAAAAGTAAACTTAGATCAGTTAAGGGACTTGCCTAAGGTATAACAGCCAATTTATAGCTTACTTGGAACTCAAGCTCAAATCTTCTGATTAACAGTTTATAGATTTTTCCATTAAAGCATATTCTTTGTCTAATTGTACATGTGTTATTTTGATATAGTGGCTTTGCTGAGATCTTGGTACCAGATCTCTCTATGGCCCTTAAAGTACATAATTGTACATGGCCCTCATGCTGTCTTATAGAATGTAGAATTTGTTTCTCTCTGCAGTATTTAGAGGAGTGATTAATTTTTCTTAATTAAAATAATTTGATATGAAAAGCCTTCTGGTAAGATTAAGTACCTAGCCTGTAAGTGAGGTTCATGCTGTTAGAGGTAGATGATTTGGTGAAAAGAATTGCTTAATTTAAAACTTGAGTTGTTGTGTCTAAAAAGGATAGAGACTAATAACTTACTGGCCAGTATGGCTATTCTGTATATCTATAGAGAGGCAGCAGTGGTTTGTTGGAGAAAACACTGGACTGACAGTCATACCTACATTTGAATCTTGCCTCAAATGTTTACATAGCCAAGTCACAACCTCTCAGAACCTCAGTTTCCTCATCTGAGAAATGAGGATAACACTTGTATCCAAATATATCACAAAAAGGTTGTGACAAGTACTTTATAAACTTTAATGGGCCATATGAAAACATTAATTTGTGATTATTAGTAGCAGTTTATAAAATAAAAGCTCAAAAAAGAGAGGCAGTGGGGTATAGTTGATAGAGTGCTGGACTTGGAGTCAGTACCAGCGTTCAAATTCTGCCTGTAATTTATTCTCTAAATTACCACAGACAAGACATTTAGCTTCTGAGTCTCAGGCAACTCTTTTAGGCTGTAAATTAGGGGGCTGCAATCTGTATCAGAGGAGGAGGGAGTTTTCACAGTAACGAAATCACAAGTCCTTGACATTAATACATAAGATTGCATAAGGTTATTTTTATTTCCAGGTAATGTAGCTGCAGGTCTATCTGGCTACCAGAGGACACATACTGTGACTCTCTTTTCAGTAAAGTTTATTCAGAAATGCTAGTAGCTCTACCACTGTATTTCTACTGGGGTATAGGTACTATTCTTTTTTATTTTTAAAAATTAATTTATTTTGAATTATCAACAATCACTTCCATAAGCTTTTGAGTTTTAAATTTTTCTCTCCCTCCCTCCCCAACTCCCTCCCCAAGACAGAGCACAATCTGATACAGGCTATACATATACATTCCTATTAAACATATTTTCACATTAGTGATGTTATAACTAAGAATTAGAACCAATAGGAGGAACCACCAGAAAGAGGAAACAAAACACAACAGAAGGAAAAAAATAGCAAATAGGTATGCTCTGATCTGCATTCAAACTCCATAGTTCTTTCTTCTTTGTGGATAGCATTTTCCATCATGAGGCCGTTGGAGATGTCTTAGATTATAGGTACTGTTTTTTAACTCAGGTCTTCCTATAAATATTCATATTTGCAGAATCCAAGCCTTTGTCTATTTGGATTGACCCTTACTCTTAGTCTCAGTCTAGGTTTTAGGGGTTTCAGTGTCCTGAGTCTTCTAGTTTCTGTTCTTTAAAGGCCAATACACCAATGGAGACAACTCTCCTGGATCATTTCTGGGATTCCTACTGACTTTTAAAGTATAGTTAACGTTTTGATTCTAATCTGTATCCAAGTAGTTTTACATATCTGATCTAAGGCGAGCCATAATTCATTTTTCTTTAGCTATTTAGTTGTTTTACTTTATAAGTATATTTGGGGATTGTATCTTGCTGCTTTCTAGACTTCTATTGCTCTCAAGCAAGCAAGGATTTCACTAACACTAGTAACTGCCTGTAGAGTCACATGTGGTCCATATCAGTAAAGCCCCCTCAAAAGTTCTTGCTTTGCCTGACAGTGTTGCCGTTGTCTCTTTTTAGGCAGGTCTAGGAGATCTGAGGCCAGGGAGCTCTCTTCCATTTATAGTTAGGCAAAGTAGCTACAAATCATCAGTTAGTAAGTGGGTAGCATACTGTATATTTTTTTAGGGTCTAAGTATTTAACTTTGGAAAAGCAGTAATACCCAAATTTTCTTGTAGAACTCTTTTCCTTGTCTTCCTTTTCTTCTTAAAACCTAACTTGAAGCTTTTGTATTTTATCCTTTTAAACATGCTTAAGTATTAGTTCTAATTGCATGATGGACAACTATATAGGGCTTTTCCCCTCAGTTTATATTAAGTAATTAAGTAATCTGTAGAAAATGCAGCCTGAAACCAATGATTAGTTTCAGTTCAGCAAACATTAAATAAATTCTCACAGTGTTTTAGGCACTGTGCTAGAGTAGGCCTTAAAGATGCAAAGACACAGATAAAACACTTTCTCTTTTTGCTCTGGAACATGGCTGGTCCATTTGTATTGAGGTGAAATTTGGCAAATGTCAAAGAAATACATTCTCATTTTAAATTTTTCTAGGGAGAACCTAGAGATTCTGAGTTTAAAAAGTAGCATGATATATAGCACTGTATAGTATGGATGAATTTTTTTAGTTCTGAGTTTAACTATGATGGGTAAACCAGGGTGGGGGGGGTGAGGACAAAGTTCCCTTAAACTTGATAGATGAAATTTTAATATAATGTAACAGAAAACAAGTTTGATATCATTGAGTAAAATGCAAATTGGTTTTGCATTTCTTAATTTTAGGAGGATAAAATTAAATTCCTGGTTGGTCACTTAGAAATATTTTATATTGCTCCTATTTATTCAGGCAGGCTTTATGTACAGTATTTGATTTTTGATGTTTTTTGAGCTGTTCAGGTTTAGCTTGTCTTTGATTCAGTACTATTAACATTGCAGAGAATGTCATTAAATGTGATTTGGTGTGTTGACTGAGGAATTTTCCAAAGAAATGCATCTCAAGTTATAAAGTGGAAGTCAGTTGGAAAGCAGGGCTAATGTGTGTGTGTTTTGTTTCATAAACAACTTCATGGATTTTATTCCCTCCTGTTGTTAAGGAGAACTGTATTTGGTTAAATACTGGTTTGATTAAATCTGATTTCTACCAGAAGAATAAAAAGAATTAAGAAATTCATTATTCATTACTTTCTTTGCTGTGAGGTATATATAGTGTATAGTACTTTAGAGCTGGAAGGGATCTGATAGCCACTTAATCATTTTGTAGAGGGGGTAGCGGGATCTGAAGGATGTGAAGTGCCTTGCCCCTGATTGTTATCTAGCTAACTAATTAGAAGGAGTGCCAAAAAGCAAATCCCCTGGTAGTACACCATTCCACAGCACTTTGAGGTCTGTTGTTCAGTTAATATTGGGACCTCAGGCCCTCCATCCCTGCAGATTGAGATACCTTTAGACCTTGGAATATTGTTCTCTTTGATTTGACTGTGATTCTTCCTTAGGAGAAGACTCCACCCACTAATTCAGGTCTGCGTCTTCTCTTCTACTTGAAGTCTGAGAGAGCTCCCTGGAGCACTGAGAGCTTCAGGAACTCTTCTAGGTCTGTTAAGGATTGTCAGAGGGTCCCCTGAACTTGTTTTGTTGCGTTGCCGTATTTTCCAGAAACTCTGGACCCAGAGCATGCAGAAGGCCCTAAATGTGTCAAGGATGAACCCGTACCACCCCCCTGAGCTGAAGTAATTTGTTCTTTGCACACCAAACTAGACTCCCTATGTGTGCTTGGGAGTCAAGGCAGGCACCAGTCCTTCTGTGCTAGGCTGAGAAACTGTGCAACTAGGACCCTGTAGATAAGTAGACCATCCAGGCTAGGCCCTAGCAGTTCCCAAGGAAAGAGAATGCGGCTTTTGCCATTGCCTTGCTCCTCCTGTTCAGGAGGGGTTTTATCCTTTTCCAGCCTTTACTGTCCCTTTCCCTCTCCCATGCCACTCACCTTTGGGTGGAGATTTCTCTTACCTCCTTCCTTTGTTCTGCTGTTAAAAAAATTAAAACTTCTGTATGGTTTATGAGATCTTTGGGTTCCACATGCATGTTCATTTCTCTTGTAATAAACGTAGTTTCCACATAAGTTTATGAAATTGTGATTGCCTGTTGATAAGTAGTGCAGTTAATATGTGTCAGGACTTGAAACTACGTCTTCTGCCTGAGGCCAGAGCTGCCTGTCTTTTAGGACACAGGATCTACAGATTCTTCCTCCAGCAGTCACCCTGGTGATGAATGACTCCAATTTAGCTAGAGGTAACTGGAATATCCCTTAAGATCATAGACTTGGATTTGGAAGGGATCCTCATGGCTTTTTCAGTTTGTTGTAGGACCTGCTATAGGGCTCACATTCCTCCAGCACTGCAGTTTTTGAATTGCCAGGGTCTCCTCCATACTATGTTGAGGTGTTAAGATTGAACTCACTAAACTTGTCAGCAGGACTGTTAGAAAGAGAAATGGGGCTCATGACTTTGTGGCAAAAGTTTTATGTGTAGAAAATATGCTTTGATTCAGCAGTTTTTTTAATGATTAGCAGGAGAAAATTAATTTACAAAATCCCATGTAAAGATGTCAGAGAAAAACCTGAAACGTTTCATCAGTCTGAATTAGTGACTTGGAATGTTGATGTATCCTAAGTTTTTCTATTTTTTTTTCTGTTTTCTATTTTTTCCATTTCTATAAATTCTCCCATTTATGTGTAGGTCCTGTCGGATGTCGAAGAAGATAATTCAGAACTAAGTAAAGAAAATATGTGGGAACTCTCCTGTGAAACTGTGAGAGAGCAGCTTACTAATAGCATTAGAAAACAGTGGAGAATTCTGAAAAGTCATGTTGAAAAACTTGATACCCAAGGTGATTGTGACTTCTATCCATTTTTAGCTAACTTGTGACACCAAATGCAATAACACTGCCCAGAGAAGTATTCAGATGAATGTGTTGATACATCTTACAGAAGCGTCTTTGAATACAGATATTTATTGCAAATGTTATAGTGGCATTATGTATATGTATACTTTTTTAACCTTTGTCAGATACCTAGAAAACAAGTTATGGGGTCACATTCAAGTATATGTCCTAAAACAAATATTTAAAGCATGGTACTTAGAAATAGAAAATTTTGTCTGCTTTTGGGCATTATATTAGAATTGTTTTGCCTGGAGAAATGTACTTTGGAAAAACAGTAAGTCTTCTTTGAGAAAAGCTCATTTGGGTGCCTGTAGTATAAGTATAGTCTGTCAGTGGGATTAAGTCAGTGGGAGTAAATCAGGTCATTTTGTTTTCATTCTAAACGTTTTAAAATCAAGCACTACTTAAAATGCAATATAAATTCACATAGTATTTCCATCTTTCCTTACACCTTAGACATTTCTTAGCGTAGATTTCTAGAATATATTCTTTAATATTTTATGTGTTTACTTGAAACAGAAATTACATAGAGTTTTAGTTATTAATAAATTGGTTATTGGGCAAGCCTATTTACTTGAAGGAATTATTGTTCTGCAGAAAAAAATCATCATAAATTGCTCAGCTATAAATTCAGTGCTGACAAATATCTTTAGCAGGGAAGAATGACTAATAAAATAATGTTTATATTTTTATTCCAGAACTAAGTGTTTAAATATATTACTTTAATTTCAGCCATTATCAACAATAAATAAACTGTACTCTGATTTTACAAGCAGGCTTAAAGTTTATAATCTTGCATTTAATACCAGAGAACAAGTCTCAAATAATATTTTCATATGCTGATGCCTGTAATAAAGGAGTAAGTCCCAAGTTAAATAATTTGCTTTGAAATAGAAGTGGCAACAAAATATAATTCATGAATTTTATTACATAGTCTTGCTGTAATATTTACAGTAGTGAAAATTATCTTTCTTTAGCCAAGATAAGTGCTTGGACAAATGAATATAAAAGTTATATATTAGATGTACAATTTATAAAAAACTATAATATATACAGAAGAAACAATTTAATTTCTAACATAGTAAGGTACATGCTAACTATAGCTGCAGTGAAACCCACTTGTTTTGTATGTTGTGATATTGAAGGCATTTGATCTTGAAGTTAGGATTTATGGTGGATTTTGACATTTAGAACAGCAAAGATCTCTTCCTTTAGAAATGGTTAAATTTTATAAGAATCTATGAAAATCTTGAATGGCAAGAATCCTAAGATACTTATTATTTTAACATGTACAAGAGAACTTAGATACCCTTATATGGGCTTTTATAACAATGTTAAATGTATTTTTGAATCACAGTATCAAAGGTACACTTGGGAGGCTTTAAGGATGAGGAAGTTATCTCAAGACAGGATCATGAACAAGAAACTGAAAAACTGGAGTTGGAAATTCAGCAGTGCAAAGAAATGATCCAGACTCAGCAGCAGCTTTTACAGGTAGATGTCAGTTACCTCGTCTAACTCCTGTGCCCTGGGATTCCTGAAGATGACGTTCTTTTCTTTTAATAATCCTTAAAACATCGAATTGCTTGCATTGGTCACCCTTTTCCAAATCAACTTGGATGGAGGGTTACTGCAAGGATCTCAGTCTGCAAGGTGAGCATCTTAGAACTTAAAGAGGCTTTCTTTTAACTTGTAGCAGCAGTTCACCACTACGTGTGATGATGACACCTCCTCATTATTACAAGACTGTTATTTATTGGAAGAAAAAGAACGTCTTGAAGAAGAATGGGCCTTATTTAAAGAACAAAAAAAGAACTTTGAGAAAGAAAGACGGAGTTTTACAGAAGCTGCAATCCGACTAGGACTAGAGGTATTTAAATGACTGGATTTCTGGCAAGTTTCATTCTTAGCACAGATTCAGAGCTGGGGTGGTCATATTTGAAAGAGTCAGCATCAAAATGTTAATATGATTATTAGTGTGCTTTAAAAATATGGACTATTTCCTACACTTTCTGTTTGTGCACTTAATTGGAATCAGATGGTCTATGCTCAGACTCTTTAGAAACAAATTAGAATATTCTTGGATTAGCTTGGATTTTTGTTTTTATTGTTTAGTTCATATTTAGTAAGCTGTGCACTGGATCTTTTGAGAACTTTTCTTCAGACATTTTTTGGAACAAGTTTCCGTATCTCACTCAGGGTAGATGTACAGTGGCCACTCGTGGGCCTGATCCAAATACCATTTGGCATAGAAGCTTTAACCTGCTCCATGTTTCTGACCTGGGTCAGTTTGCCCATCCTTAGGCAGCCCGGTGTCTCACTACTCCTGGGGACTCCCCCTACTGATGCTAGACTTGGTTACAGGCCCTGCATCAGCTTTTGCCCTATTACGGTTCAGAATCCCACTGCTGAAAAGACCCACCAGCCTCAGCCTCCCCTTGTGGCAGTAATGTTCGACCCTGCCTGGCCCCTTCAGACGTTTCTAACTTACTTTTTAATGGCTGACACTGACTTTAAACTAGAACTCTGTGCTGATCAGTATCAATTGTCTTTTGCTAGCAACGTATGTTCTATCAAGAGGTGGTGTCCACAAAGAGTAGCACAGGACAAACTACTTTCTGCTTGACCTCCTTATTTGACAGTATCGCTACTATCTCCTGGAAGGAAAAAAAGATTGATTTGTTTTCTGTTTTTCTACTGTCTTCTGGGAGGTTATTTTAGAGTATATAGGAAGAGTGTTTCTGGAACTCACTCATAACTGCTTAGAAGCCTTAGAAACTACTTGTAACCACTTCTTTGGCTCTTGTCCTTTATAGCTGGAATGGAAGTTTGTCAGTTTTTAGTCCTCGGTATGTTCTAATAATCTTAAAGGGACAATTTAATGTAATGCTTAACATTGGCAAATGCTTTACATTTATTTTTTCTAATTAATTTTTAGCATTCATTTAAAAAAATTTTGAGTTCCACCTTCTCCCCCCCCCAACGCCTTGAGAAGGCAAGTATAATGGATACAATATCCATTATACTTACGAAGTCTTAGCCATGTCACACACCACCTCCCAAAAAGGAAAGAAAAATAAATTAAAAAATAATATGCTTCAGTTTGCACTCAGCATTCATCAGTTCCCTCTCTGGAGATGGGTAATATTTTTCATCATGGGTCCTTTGGCGTTGTCTTGGATCATTGTATTGATCAGAATTATGTTTTACATTTAAAAAAAATTTCCCCTTATATTATTGCTTGATCCTTACAACACTCTGTGATGGAGAAAGGGCAGATATTGTCTTCATTTTACAGATATAGAAACTAAATTTGGTCTTGTCATGATTGTAATGATCAAGATCATACAATGAGTAAGTGACTGACTGAAGACTCAAACCTTTATCTTTGAATTAGTCTAATACTTTTCTCAATACAAGATACTACTTCCCATTGATAAGTGACAATATACAAAAACATAGTATATACCAGTGTATTCTGCTGTCACTTGAAAGTTTAGATTCTTAACATTTTATGTTATTTATAAATTATACACCACTGCCTATTTTTTTTTCTTTTTGGTGAGGCAATCAGGGTTAAGTGACTTACCCATAGTCACACAGCTAGTAAGTGTCAAGGGTCTAAGGTCAAATTTGAACTCAGATCCTCCTGACTCCAAGGCCTGTTCAGGACTCTATCCACTATGCTAGCTAGCTGCCCCTTCTGCCTTGTATTTTGAAACTGCTTAATTCAGAGAACATTCATAATTGAATATGTTAGACAGAGGGTAAATTTTGCCTATGGTAAGTTTAAAGTCTAGCTCTCTTAAATGAAACTAATAGATTTTCCTTAGATTTCCAGGAAACTCATTTTAGCTAATGTTTCCAAGAATGTCCCAGGAAATAAATAAAACGGTGACATGTATAGAGGCATTTGTTACATTTTTATGTGATTGTGTCTGTCCTTTCATAGAGGAAGGCCTTTGAAGAAGACCGAGCTGGTTGGCTAAAGCAGCAGTTCTTAAACATGACTTCTTTTGACAATAAGAACTCAGAAAATGGAAAACCTCAAAGTGCCTTTTCAGGAAGTAAGTAGTTTGCAAATGAAGAACAAACAAACTTGAGGATATTTCATTTGGATGCATGTTTATTAATGCAAGCAATTACTATGCAGACTTTATTTTTGTGTTTCTTATCATCAGACTGAACATGAGTGCATAATGATAACTAAACATTTCAAAACCTTCAAGTCAGTTGTGGTATATAAATATTCTGAGGAATCCTCCTGAGCTGCTCCTTTGATTCTTCATTTTACTATGAAAGTGAGCAGGGTACAGGAGGCCCTGCTAGTAGAGTACAAGATGTGGCAAATCCTTCTCAGCTTACAGTTGCTGTGACAGGTATGATGACTGCTGTCTGAGCACCATCTTGGCTGAGTTCAGAGAGTTTCATTGCAAGGTTAGCCATATCAGGTGATGAATTTTTCGTGTAAAACAACTACTATTGACTATTTACTAAATTCCAGAGAGGGTTAGAGCTGTATCAATGGGGAAGGAATATCCACACAGACAAAATTATAGATCCTTTTGAAATAAGTTCAGAATTGCTCAAGTCTTATGCAAGTTTTTGCAAGCTCTGGGATTTTACCAGGTCAGGGAGCAGTTTCCTACATGGAAGTTCCCTTCATCATCACAATTCCATGACTGATCAGTAGATCAAATTAATTGTAGTTTAAAATTAATTAAGTCACTGAAAGATTAGTTAAGTGGCTTGCCCAGAGTCACACAGCCAGGTATGTTGGTGGAGTTCCTCACTCCAAGGCCCTCCTCAAATTTATATTTTAGTAACAGAAGAGCATTCCTAAGGAAGTTGGAATCCTAGAACTAAAAGGATACTCAATAATTCACCTCATTGGTCTCAGGTCTGTCACTAGGTTGGGGGTGGGGATCCTGTGGCCTCGAGGCCAGCAAATGTGGCCCTCCCTCCAGGTCCTCAAGTACAGCCCTTTCACTGAATCCAAACTTCACAGAGCAAATCCCTTAATAAAATGATTTGTTTTCTTGTGGTTTTTCCCTTTGCTTCTAATTCTTATTTACAACATGACTGACGTATAAATATGTTTAATATGAATGTACATGATCATATACATTCATATACAGATGTACGTGTCAGATTGCACACCATCTTGGGGAGGGAGTAGGAGAAAATTTAGAACTCAATCTTATAATGTTGAAAACTAAAAATAAGTAAATTTAATAAAGAAAAGAAAAAAATAGTGAATGTAAATTTTTTAAAACAAATATAATTGGAAATATTTAATGAAATAAAACTTGTTTTAAAAAATTTTTTTTAAATAAAAAGACTTTATCTGTAAAACTTGGACTCAGTCAGAAGGTCGCACCCAAGAACCTAGAAGGCCACATATGGCCAGGAGGCTGCAGGTTCCCCACCCTTGCCTTAGGCCATTTCACAAGATTAGTCTCTCATAGTTCAGAATTTCTCAAGAAATGAACATTTTTACTCTTTTTCTTTTTCAGGTTCTGATCAGGACAATCTAACACTGCACTCCAAGCCTGGACAAAAATCTTATTCTGTGTTTAGCGAGTCTTCAGTACGCACGTCTAAACTCACTAAATCTCTACCTGTTTCCCCTTCCACTTCAGAGCTTTTCCAGACAATTCGCCATATATCAGAAAATAGGTATTAGTCTATAGGTGGCCTTATTTTCATATACTTCTGGAAAGTGGTAGACACTTGCATTGTTGAAATAAAAAAGCTGTTATATCAAAGGCTTTGTTGTCCATAGAAGAACTTTCTATTGTCCATAGAAAATTAATTTAGTATATCACCAAATATAGGTATTATATACAGACATTATAATGTTAGTTCAATTACTTAATATCCTTTTAAAATGCAAAGATTTAGAATGAATGATAGGAATTACTTAGCTTTTTAAAAAGTACTTCAAATGTCAAATCAGTTCCTGATAATTAGAAACTTATTTAAAGGGATAATGTTGTATGTCTATTTTTAAAATTTCTTTAAATGTACCCTTTTAAATAGGAAAACAAGGAACATACATCAGTCTACTAAATTTGAGTGGTGAAGAAGAGTTCATCTGAGGATATTAATATGGGAAAATAACCTCACTACCTCAGAGATGTCTTGATGTGTTTTAAATTTCACCTTTTCCATTCTTTTCCCCTTATTTCTACCTTAAGATACCCTTGAGATTTTCATTCAGTTCTTCTTTGGATTCATATACTGCTACGCTTTGGGTTGGACTTTTCCTCAGTGGACTGTTAAGAAAATGCCTGGTGTAGGATAGAGGGAAAGCATGAGCAAACAAAAGGGAAAGTAGGGAGTTGTAGCAGAGCCAAGTACTGGTAGAAGCAGTTAACAGTAGGGTGGGAGCTGATCAGTGTGTCCTGAACCCCAGAAAAGAAATGAGTCTAGGGTAGAAGCAGCCGTCACCTGAACCTAGGGGACTCTGTGGAGCATTTTGGCTGAAAATAGTGGGGAAGTTGAGGCTAGAGAATGAGAGCAAGCTAGCGCTGAGCAACAGAAATGCTGAGAAGGCATTCTCCTTCCCCTAAGTAGTCATGGGATTGGTTGGCTTTGTTTAAAAGAAAAGCACCAATATGAGGGAAAAAAAGAAGAGCCCTCAATATTAATTTGTAGATGATTTCAAAAGAAGGGTGAGAATTTAAAGGAACATAAGAGTACAATTAAAGGAAAAAAGTATCAAAGGAAAAAATGCTTGCAGAATCATTGAAAATGTTAGCAAAAGCATGAGGTTTTTAGTCTATCATTCATCAGAATTGAAATAGATCATTAAGGAAGACAGCAGTAGCAATGTCTTTTAATATTTATTTGGTCTTAACTAAATCCAAGACAAGATTTTAAAGTGAGTGAAAAAGTAACTAATTGTCAGTCAAAATGAAAATAATATAATTCCAGAGAATATACTTACGGAACTCTTTTAAAAAGCCTCCTGCTAGGAATAACCAGTAAGAATTATGTAGCATTAGTTGTTAAGTATGCTTTTACTTAACCTGTAAGAATTAAGGATTTTCTTGTGAGTGGAAAATTTGAATTTTATTACAACAAAATAGCATGGTTGGCTTAATTATCCTCTTTCAAAAGTTATCTGAGTTTGATTAGTAATGTAAATTTATATCATAAAATGGATAACATTTCCTCTTCTGCTATTCTGAAGGCCAGTATAATGAAAATGTTTGAAGTGGATATTATTACCTTATTTCATACTTAGGAGCCTTTGAAATTAAAACAAAACCATAAAAAGTGGTTTTCGAATAAGATTAATTGCCAAAAATATGTTTATAAAACCGAACTGTATTACACCCTTAATATAACTTTGCTAAGAGCAGAATTCAGTAAGAAGTGTCTTAATGCTCTGGTGTGGGGCATTCCACTACTGAATGATCTAAAAAATTCTTAAGGTAATTTGATTTATTATGTATCTTCATGGCATGGAGTTCAAGGACAGCATCTCAGGAAGGTCTCATTGTGTATTGATTAAGAAGTTCTAGTTATTAATAGAGATGGGCCTTTTTTTCGATTCAGATTTTTATTACTCAAGACAACTATTTTTATTCGAGGCCTTTCCACAGTCACTTTGAGGAGTATATATCATAGAATATTGAACAGGGAGAGAGGGACCTTGGGGGACATCCAGCCCACAAAGCTCGTTTTTACCATGATGATGTTGGATGCTGGAGAGACCCTGGTGGTAGCAGAGTCTGAATTTGAACCCACATCTTCTAGTACCAAATACAATACTCTTTCTCCTACATCATGTGCAGATAGCATATAGGAAGCCAAAATTAATTCATAAGAGAATTGTTCTAGACCAGGGGTGGGGAACCTACAGCCTCAGGGCTACATGTGGCCCTCTGGGTCCTCAAGTGCAGTCCTCTGACTGAATCCAAACTTCACAGAACAAATCCCCTTAATAAAAGGATTTGTTCTGGAAAACTTGGACACAGTCTAAAGACTGCACCCTAAGGACCTAGAAGGCCGCAGGTTTATCACACCTGTTTTAGACTGTTGCAGTTAACGTTATGATAACAATTTCTATTGAAAAAGAGTATTATTGGGTGTTCAGTTGACAAAGTATCAGACTTACAAATAACTATTCAGTGGGTAAGTACCTTTAGTTTGAAAAAAGAAATAAATAGCTTTCATGTATTTCTGAGTGGCTATAGTAGATACCACTTTAAATGAACACATCTTAGACTATATTATTGAAACTGTGCTAGCCACCTTAAGTGATTATCTGGAGAAATGGAGTGGTTATGTGGGGAGGACTTGAAAGGAATGGGACACTGGTAGTAGACCCTACAGGGGCCCCTAGTCTCTTTAAAGAGCCCTGGTCTTCAGATGGGCAACTCGCACCTAGAATTGACTCCTATTTATTGTGATGTTTTCTGGGGGCCAGGAAATCAGGGAGTACAGGAAGTATTCAGATACTGCAATGAAGTAATTTGAAGTACTTCTTCCTCTGCCCCTCCAATTAGCCTGTCATTTTGAAACTCTGCCTGTGAGATAATATGGAATTTTTGAAACATCTTGGAAATAAAGTACAAATATAAATAAAACATAGTAATACTGACATTTTTTTCAACAGTTCAAGCTGTGTACTGAATGTAGCTACAGAAGACACTAAACCAAATCAGGTTGGAAGGGAATGCACAGCTCAGAAATGGAGTGTGGCATCAAGATCGGACTCGCAGGAAGGAGGCTGTTCTGGTTCACGATCTTTGGCCTGTACAGATTGGTCCATAGAACACAGAGATGGCTTACCATAGGCATACCGTATGGATGTGCTTGATTAAGTTAATGTGTTCATAAATTCTCTTGTCTAAGATGCAAAGTGGGATAAACTTGATCGTATTTAATGGTTTTAAAGAAAGTCGTCTTGAGTTGTTTGTTCTGACTTCCCTATCCTCTGTTCCCCAAAGAACTGAAATGTTATCCATTGAAAAAGATACAGAAGCTTTGGATTTTTAGTAACAGAAGCTTCTGGTTCTGTGAATAAAGGAATGTAGAGACATTTCAGATGGAAACTGAAGCACTAGAAGGAGCGTTTCTTTTTATAGACATAAAAGGTAGCACTTTTAGGAAACCAATTATTGTAAATGTTTAATTTTGTTCCAAATGTAACTGGCATTGGAAGTTATGCCTTTACTTGAATGTACAATGTAGATTTTTAACAAAGCAAGCTTATATTTATTACGTCTTGTGTGATTTGAAATTGCCTCTTTCATATGTTTTAAATTGAGATTTATGTATATTTTGTACATAGTTATACATGATTATGTTAAGATGCTTTAAAATTAAATAATTTCATGCATCCATAATCATAGTATTTTATATGCCAGTTTAAACCTTTTTTTAGTAATATTCTGTTTACAGATGTGTTAGGGCTGTTGCCATATTACATTAAAGGACTGGACTTTTTAAATATATCTGAGCAATAAATGTGAAAAAGCTATTCTTATGAAACTGATTTCTTACAATGTTTATTACTGAGTACTGTAGAAATTATTCACTTGGGTTTTAAAACATGGGTCAGTTATTTAAAAGGACAGTTTTTATACATTATATATATATGTATGTGTATTATATATATATGTTATGTATACATACATAGAAAATTTTATATACACACATATATGTCATTTGGGGGCATGGAATCAGAAATACCTTTAAAATAAGACCATCTCAGAATTATATTTCTACTGGTTAGAGTATTGATTATGGTGATATTTGTTTGACTGGCACAGCAGCAATTATCTACCATTAGCTAGAGTATCTGTTCCAGCTGGAGATGTGAAGTGGCCATGTAGCGTTTAGGATTTACCATTGAAGCATTTTGGTATGCTTTTATGGGACATTTTTTTAAAGGTTCCTTGTACAATCCAGTTCCTAGCACACTGGCACATTGAATATAAAATCCTGTTAAATCCAGCGTTTCCCATGATTGCTATAGAGTAGAAAGAGGGAGAAGGAGGGAGGAAAAGAACACAGGTTCGCATTCTTCTCCAAAGGAACCATCCCATTGCAATCAGGTGGTAAACTGTGCAAGGTCCCATAGAGACCCAGTACGTGCCTTTCGAGGGCTACACATCAGACTGGCCTGTCTGCCATTGTGTTTCTGGGCAACCTGCCATATATATAATATGTAAACCATGTCACTCTTTTGCTCACCAAGCTTCAATGAGTCATCCTGTTATCTACAGGATAAAATAAAATCTGTTTGTCATTTAAAGCCCTTCATGACTTGTTCTTGATATATTTTCATAGCCTTATTTCACATTGTTCACACATTTGGTGGTCCAGATTGGTCTCTGGTATTCCCCAAAGTAAGCCTTCTGTCTCTTGCTTCAAAACTGTTGCATAGGTTTTCCACCAGGTTTTCATTGCCCTCTGGGAATCTTTAGCCTTCTTCATGTCTTACAAGTACCACCATCTTCTACATAGAAGCGTTTTCTGATTTCCTCTGATTTTTAGCATTCCATCCCCCTGAAATTAAGTCAGTTAACAGTACTGGTTCTGCAATCAGGAGATCTGAGTTCAAATTCTCTGCCTCTGATGGCAGCTACTTTGTAACTCTGTCCACCTAACTTCCTTGGGCCTCAGTTTCCTTATCCATAAAATGAAGGAGTTGGATTAGATGACCTCTGAGGCTAAGCCTCTCCCCACTGCTAACACTTAATATTATGATCATCATTACCCTTCCAGTCCATTCTATAGATAGATATAGGTATAGCTGCTTCTGCCCAAGAGTCCTCAGTGACAGATGCTTGGCCTACCAAGTCAAGTGTCAACTCTTATGCTTGGCCCTCATGGACCTCTACAATCTGCTATCACTTCACGTAGTTTTCCTTATGATAACTCTTTTGTGGTTTTGACCTTTCAGTAAAATACTCTGTTTTCCAACATACCCTGAGCTTTCTTGTTTCCATGCAATTGAAGAACTGTTGATAATGGTTAATCATGTCACAGTCCAGGTGAGTACAATGAATGATCCAGCCTGATGAACCTCCTGCCTCTCTAAGACTCTTCATCCCTGGATCTTTAACTTCTTGCTCCCTTTCTTTTACTCTTATTTTCTATCCTCCCATCCCCTTTGTTGTCCATAATATGAAACCAGAGTACATTTAAAAAAAATATTTCAACACATTTGTTGAGAAGTAGTAGGTGTACTTTAAAAAAAAAGACTTTTTATTGTTGGCAAGATTAAACAAAAGCTGCTTATAGGGTCAGTTGTGCTAATCATAGCCAGGACTGGAACACTACAAAATCCTTAGTGAAATCCACAGAAGGTTGGTCTCACCGTCCACAGTAGAGAAACAAAATGGATAAAAAATGTCAATTGCCAAGACGGTGACAGGGAAGGGTGCAGGGAGTAAAACATAGAGTACCTACTATTTCCTTTTCATAAACATCTCATTTGATCCTCACAACAATACCTGTAAGGTATTGTTACCCCATTTTACAGTTCAGGAAACAGGCAAACAGTTGCATGACTTACCTAGGGTCACATAACTCTTTAAGTGTCTGAGGCTGAATTTGAATGCCGGGCTTCCTGACTCCAGGCCCAGCACCCTATCCACCAGCTGTTTCTAGTTAATGGGCAGTTGGACAGTCAGTGAAATCGTCACTATCTTGGATAAGCAACGCAGATAGGCAACAAGCTAGACATAGAATTGATTAGGAGAAGATCCAACAGATGAAATTTTAGAGATTCTGTAAAGTTCTGTTCAGTTATATTGGCTTAACTGCCTACTGCTTCACTAACCTGTTTAACACCAATATTTTTCTAGTGATCCTATCTAGCTATGAATGAGTACACCACAATTTCAGAAGAATTAAAGTGCCCAAAGGCACTTTAAAGACACAAGTAGAACCCAAAGGCTTTAGCATGTCAACATTGTTGATGTGTCTAAATGGGACAAAAATATTAAGGACTTGTATGACCTAAAATAAGGGTGAGCCAATACCGTAGGAAGGATGAAGGACAGCAGATAGTAAAGGAGTCGCTGTCTTTGAGATGCTAACTACAGAATGGCCATTGGTGTTCAGAGATGTTTCAAAAAAGATGGAAAAATTCTCTTGAATCATGGGGGTTGAACAAACTGACAGGAAAGCAGGCACCTGCAAGTTATTTTAATACATGTCTGACTTCTACTGTAGAGCTATAGTCCTTGATTTAAGAAGAAAAAAAAAAAGCATAAAACCTCTAACCTGTCCCCAGTGAAACCCATCTACTCTGTCCAAAGGAACAGTTTGCTTGCTTCATTTTCCACCAGTCCCCAGACTCTCCCCAACCACCAACACCCACTATCAATACCATTCTTTTCTCTCATTTTGTCAGTATTACTGTGTCTAAGAGATCTTTTGACCAGAGTCTTAGTGACCATAACTTTCTGTTGTGTTCAGAGGTCCACCAGCCTTTTGTAAGTATTACATCGTAAAAGATCAATGGTAAGGTAAGGAACAAGTGAAATTTTTCAAATTTCTCCAGAATTTAGAAGAAAATTATAAATGCAAGTCAACTAAGACTTTCTAGTTTTCTTCAAGGAAATAAACACAATCTAAAGCACTTAACAGACTTTCAAACTTGAGTTTCCCATTTGTGAAATGTAAAGATCCTTTTATGCTTTATCAGACTTCCATTAAAGGAGGCTAAGCAGTTTTCATAACAAGCAACTGAAGGTTATAGCACCGAAATGGAAAAGCATGGAATTGTCTGTTCTCTGACGCAAAGAGTCATATCCTGTAATTTGCCCTCAGCCAGGTACCTCTCATTCAGATCCCTATTACATTTGACATTGGTATTCTAGAACAGTGTATTAGAATTTCTGCCGTCAAATGCTCTACTTTCTAAAGCTTAACTCAGTCTCTCTCACCATAAGCACCAGAAACTACTCAAACATTCATTAAATACCTATTGTGTGCAAGATAATAATAGATTTGGGTATACAGGCTCAAAAATGATACCTCTCAGGGCACTTCCATTCTGCTGGAACTACAACATGTACCTCGGTGTAATACAAGTTAAAATGTGACCTGGGAAAAGGAAAGATTCAGATGATGTGGAACAGGAAAGTTTGAGGAAGGACAGAATCTTTTTCAGTTGGTCTTTTCAGGGAAGGTTTCATATAAAAGATGGTGCTTAGGCTGAGCCTTGAAACAAGTGAGGAATTCTGTCCCAATTAGTGGGACCTGATATGCTCTACTCAAAGGAGCAATTTGCTCTCTTCACTGTGCCCTAGTCCTCCAGCCTCTTCCCCACCCCCAATAATACTCTCCTCCAATAATAGCATTCTTTAGGGGAGACTAAGGAGTGTAAAACATAGAGGACAGCCACTTGCAAAGGCATTAGGAGTTGGAGTGTCATATGTGAAGAAGAGAAAGGACAGTTTGGGTCCAAGACTGTGGGACAGGAAGTGATGTCTGATAAATCCAGGAAGTAAGTTTTGGTCAGGTTGTGAAAGGCTCTATAGGCAAAACAGAGAACTTTATTTTTCTCCTAAAGGCAATAATAAGGAACCACTGGGATTGATTGAGAAGAGCAGTGACAGTCAAACCTGAATCTAAGAAAGATCTCTTTGACAGCTGTGTGAAGGGTGAATTGGAGTGGGGAGAGGTAAGGCAGGGAGACCAATTTCTGATAGAAATTCCATTTATTGTATTTTCCTGCAAGAGAGAAAGACTGTATGAGCTAGGGTGATGGTTGTTTGATTAGCGAGAAGGAGGTGATTGTAAGAGATGTGAAAGCAGAAAAAGTTCAGCAACTTACTGGATATATTGACATGTTGGGTGAGGGAGGATGAGGGGTCAAGGTTAACAATGACACTGTATGTGGGAAAATGGCCATATCCTTAAGAGAAGTAGAGGAGATTGGGAAGAGGGATGGGTTGGTGAAGGAAGGAGTAGAATGACTTCTTTGTTGGACATGGTAGGCTGATGATGTCTGTGGGACATACAGTTTGAAATGTCCAATACACAGTTGGTGATGTGGGACTGAAATTCAGGAGAGAAAAACTAGAGCTGAATGTATAGATTTGGAATGTGATTAAAGGTTAACTACTTGAGAGCAGGGATTGTGTCAATTTGTCTGTATCCCCAGTACTTAGTACAATGGCTGGGGAAGAGAAGGTGCTTAAAAACAATCGAAGATGAGTGTAGTGGAATTGTAAGGAACAAGCTTAGTCCCAAAGAAGAGATATGAGAAGACATCTCCACTTGATCCTTTGCAGAGAGAGGGAGTCCATAGAGGTAGAGGGGTGGGGAGGAAAACATTGTATGTATGTTTGCTTCCTCTTTTTCTTTAAATAAATTCTTTATTATAAAAGATTGCTCCTTGAAAGTAGGAAGAAGAGGGCCAGCTAGGTGGCCCAGTGGATAAGCTCTGGCCTTGGAGTCAGGAGGACCTGAGTTCAAATCTGGCCTCACACAGATGACATTTACTAGCTGTGTGACCCTGGGCAAGTCACTTAACCCCAATTGCCTCACACCTTCCCCCCCAAAAAAGGCAAAGTGGGAAGAGGAGAGAAAAATCTAGGGATAGAAAAACAAAAGATACTAATCTATTTTTAAAATGCTCATTGATTGACTTGCATAAAAATAATAATTAAATCCATGGGAGCTGATGACAGAGATAGCCCAGAGCCTTGGAATCTATCCACATTTGAAGGGAATGATATGGATGATGAGCCAGTAAGAGAGTTGGAAAAGATGGAGAACCGGGAGAGAGTAGTGTCATAAGTACACAGAAAAGAGAGAATCCAGGAAGAAAGGGTGGTCCTCATTGTCAAATGCAGAGGTAAAGAAGGATGAGGAGACTCATAAAAGGCCATTAGATTGTAAGTTAAGAAATTTTTGTAACTGGAGAGAGAAGTTTCAGTTTAGTGATGAGAAAGGAAGCCAGATTGCAGAGGGTTGAGAAGTGAGTTGAGAGGAGAGGAAGTGGAAACAGTATTAGTATTTTTTAGGAGTTGGTTGAGAAAAGGAGGAGATATATAGGTCCATAACTTGAGGGGATGGTAGGGTCCAGTGAGGATTTCTTTTTTGTTTTTGGTGAGGCAATCGGGGGTTAAGTGACTTGCCCAGGGTCACACAGCTAGTAAGTGTCAAGTGTCTGAGGCCAGATTTAAACTCAGGTCCCCCTGACTCCAAAGCCAGAGCTTTATCCACCGTGTCATCCAGCTGCGCCGAGGATTTTTTAAAGATGAGAGGCACTTGGGCATTTCAGTAGGTGACGGA